CCTCCTCTCTGGACTAGGACTGTAGGAATAATCCCTCACTCTATCCTTACGTCTGAAATAATAAAAAATAAATACTGTAAACCTATTAATGTTAGTAGCTACTTTATTTAGCGTTTATGCTTAAATGTCAAATTAGCGACTATTAAATTTGGCGTATCATTAAACCTTTCCCACTTCTCTGTTAGCTGCTGCTGTCGTTCTACTGGGTTCTCTTTCCTCTGGTAGTGTTGCGGACTGAGCAGAAGAGAGCCATCTACTATCAGCGACATCTTGTGATCACGTGACTGGGTGTTTTTATTAGCAAATATTAAATTTAGCGTGTTTAGGCTCTTCGCTAATATCGCTAAAATAAGTAGCAAGCTAACATTTGTAGTTTTATAGTAAGTAAAAATAATAAATAAAGCATTTATTCTACCTTGATGATGATTTCCTTCTTGGTGAATGAGATCTTGAACGGCTTCTTGATCGCGAGTGTCTCCTTCTATCTTTATCAGGTGACCTATAATTACAATAAAAGTGGGCAGAGTCATATGTTGCTATGGTTACCGGTGACGATAGGAGGAACGGTGTGAGTGGTAGGAGTGACGAGGCGGAGTCCTAGAACGAGATCGATGACCTCTTTTGTAACCACTCCCACCTCTGTAATCTCTATAATAAACACAAATTAATAACTACTTAATAACTAGCATTAATAACTACCTAATAACCACCATTAATAATCACTTAATAACCAGCATTATTAATTAATAACTAGGATTAATAACTACTTAATAACCAGTACTAATAACTACTTAATACATTCTTACCTCCAGTTCCTACTGTATCGTCTAGGTGATCTTGAGTAGCTCCTCCTCTTCCTCCTTTCATAAGGTGATGGTGAACGGTGTCTCCTTCTCTCATGTTTTCTCTCTTGTGATCTCGACCTAATAAACATAATAACCACACCTAGTAATTAAAAGAGGTGGGGCTTACCTTGAGCGAGACTTGGAACGAGATCGTTTCTCTTTTTCTTCGTTTTTATTGGCACCTGCAACAGGAATATTTAACCCTTCCCCCACTCCCCCTCTCCCTCACCTGGTTCAATGACATTAGTAATGGAGTGGCTGGCTTGTCTCACTTTCCTCATGGCCTCATCAACTTCTCTCTGAGCTACATCAGGAGCTTTACCTTGTGGCTTAACTATTGCATTTTTACTGTGATTAACCCTGAGAGAGAAAGATAGAAAACAATAAATAAATAAGAATGGAAGGGTGTGTGCATTTATGTGTGTGTACATGGTTAGAGCTGTCACAAGAAAATCAATATTCAATAATTATTTTTAAAAAGTCAATACAAATACATGTATTTCAGGTCTTCTTCCACTTACTGTGTTGCTTATTTGCAAGACCAGTACTTTATAGTTAAGTGTGTATGTGTGTGTAATGGAATATGTGCATATACATGTATACGTGTGTGTGTATGAAAAATAGTGAGAAAGATACTGAAGAATGAATAGTGGTAAGAAAGAAGGAAAAATGACATAGAAAGAAATAGAGGAAGAGAGAGAAAGGGAAAGGAAGGAAGAGAGAGATAAATAAAGAAAAAGAGATAGAGGGAGGAAAAAGAAGGGTGGGGGTTATTTCTTAGGTAATGAGGGCCAGCAGTCTCACTGCAGTTAATATAAAGAAAACACAAATCACGTGAGAATCATGTGACCAGTAGAAGAGATCATGTGATCCACTCACTTTATCGGCCGGTCACCAAACATTGCACCATTGTACTGCAAAGCAACCTGTACTGACTCGGGATTAGCAAACTCTACAAAAGCAAAACTGAGAGGGAGAGAGAGAAGGTAAGGATATAATTAATTAGATTATAATTTATGATTCTAACCGTGTTGGTTGCGTTTCATCTCCTGCCATTCTAACATATTTTATTTCACCACAAGTTTGAAAGAAATTCATAACCTGATCCGCATGCAACTGAAAAAAATTAATATAAAAATAAATCCCTTTTTCTCCCTTACTGTGCTTGATAGATTCCCCACATATATGGTTCTACGAATCTCATCAATCTTTGAAGGATCAACATTACCAGTGATAGGAGGCATTGATGGTAGGACTGGAGCAGCTGCTGATTGACCAGTTGACCCACCAGTTGGTGAATCGGCTGCTGAGAATGGATCCTGTGATTGAATGTTAGCTGTAATGGAAGAGGCCACTGCCTGGGCTTGTTGGAA